TTTAGACTACAGAGGAGTGGCAAAATATGTGAAGAATTAAAACTATTGAATTCTGTGAAAGTAATTACTTACGATTATTGATTTAAGCAAACTATGACTAGTGATTTAGTGCTTTTATTTGAAATGTCACTCAGCTAATTGACAACTATGAACCGTTTTGCTCATTATTCTTTTAAAGGTCATCTTCGTCGTACATTAAACATTATCATGTGCTCCGATCTCCTCCTGTGTCTCTAAGTGTTTTTAGGCTGACAACTCCCATTCTGTTCTGGTTGGTGTAACAGCGAATGACTCCCGCAAGGTTTTCCTGTCTCGCGGCTCCAGTTGGTACAGCCAAGGTATGCAGTCTATTGAGTGATCATTTCCCACGAAACTGAAAGCCTCACAGCGTTTAGTCTTTCGTTTAGCATTGATGATGTCTCGCCTGTAAATAGATGGACAGTCCTGATAGTCACACTTCCAACCAGGTCGTCTGCTCTCTCATTGCCTTTCACACCAGCATGCTCTGGGACAAAAATAAAGGTGATTTTGCGAGACCGTGCGTGCTGTATCAGATGGAGAAACTGTTTCCGTATATTCCCCGCCTTATCGTCTGTAGCATTCTCATTGAGTGGCTGAGAAAACTTGCATTGATGAATTCCTGAGTGTTTAGCCATTCTGTGTCCTTTGTCACATCCATGACTCCCATTGTATTGCTGGTGATGGTAGAAGCAAAGGCTCCACTGTGTTCTTTTATTACCTTTCATTTAGTTTTTGCCCTGAAAGCCCATCATGCACTTCGCTTCTGAAGAATCACAGAACCATCTATATATATATAGAGCCTTCGGTGATTTCATCCCATTTAAACAACAGTAACAACAAGTGACGAAACGGAAGATACAATGACTTGGCTTGTTACAAGATCTAACGAGCAGACTGCCTGAAATAACATTAAAAAGAAACGGTTAAAATAAAATACATGTGTGCTAGCATTACTGTTAACATAAATACATGTGTGCCAGCATTACTGTTAACATAAAATACATCTATGCTAGCATTACTGGTAACATAAAATACATGTGTGCTAGCATTACTGGTAATATAAAATACATGTGTGCTAGCATTACTGGTAACATAAAATACATGTGTTCCAGCATTACTGTTAACATAAAATACATGTGCGCTAGTATTACTGTTAACATAAAAAAAATGTGTGCTAGCATTACTGGTAATATAAAATAAATGTGTGCTAGCATTACTGTTAACATCAAATACATGTGTGCTAGCGTTACTGTTAACATAAAATAAATGTGTGCTAGCATTACTGTTAACATCAAATACATGTGTGCTAGCATTACTGTTAACATAAAATAAATGTGTGCTAACATTACTGGTAATATAAAATACATGTGTGCTAGCATTACTGTTAACATAAAATACATGTGTGCTAGCATTACTGTTAACATAAAATACATGTATGCTAGCATTACTGTTAAAATAAAATACATGTGTTCTAGCATTACTGTTAAAATAAAATACAAGTGTGCTAGCATTACTGTTAACATCAAATACATGTGTGCTAGCATTACTGTTAACATAAAATACATGTGTGATAGCATTACTTTTTACATAAAATACATGTGCGCTTGCATTACTGTTAACATAAAATACATGTGTGCTAGCATCACTGTTAACATAAAATACATGTGTGCTAGCATTACTGTTAACATAAAATACATGTGTGCTAGAATTACTGTTAACATAAAATACATGTATACTAGCATTACTGGTAATATAAAATACATGTGTGCTAGCATTACTGTTAACATAAAATACATGTGTGCTAGAATTACTGTTAACATAAAATAAATGTATACTAGCATTACTGGTAATATAAAATACATGTGTGCTAGCATTACTGTTAATATAAAATACATGTGTGCTAGCATTACTGGTTATATAAAATACATGTGTGCTAGCATTACTGTTAACATAAAATACATGTGTGCTAGCATTACTGTTAACATAAAATACATGTGTGCTAGCATTACTGGTAACATAAAATACGTGTGTGCTAGCATTACTGTTAACATAAAATACATGTGCTCTAGCATTATTGGTAATATAAAATACATGTATGCAAGCATTACTGTTAACATAAAATAAATGTATGCTAACATTACTGTTAACATAAAATACACGTGCGCTAGCATTACTCTTAACAAAAAATACATGTGTGCTAGCATTACCGTTAACATAAAATACATGTGTGCTAGCATTACCGTTAACATAAAATACATGTGTGCTAGCATTACTGTTAACATACAATACATGTGTGCTAGCATTATTGGTAATATAAAATACATGTGTGCTAGCATTACTGTTAACATAAAATCCATGTATGCTAGCATTACTGGTAATATAAAATACACGTGTGCTAGCATTACTGGTAATAGAAAATACATGTGTGCTAGCATTACTGTTAACATAAAAAAACATGTGTGCTAGCATTACTGTTAACATAAAATACATGTGTGCTAGCATTACTGTTAACATAAAATACATGTATGCTAGCATTACTGTTAACATAAAATACACGTGCGCTAGCATTACTGTTAACATAAAATACATGTGTGCTAGCATTACTGGTAACATAAAATACATGTGCGCTAGCATTACTGGTAATATAAAATACATGTGGGCTAGCATTACTGGTAATATAAAATACATGTGTTCTAGCATTACTGTTAACATAAAATACATGTGCGCTAGTATTACTGTTAACATAAAAAAAATGTGTGCTAGCATTACTGGTAATATAAAATAAATGTGTGCTAGCATTACTGTTAACATAAAATACATGTATGCTAGCATTACTGTTAAAATAAAATACATGTGTGCTAGCATTACTGTTAACATAAAATACATGTATGCTAGCATTACTGTTAACATAAAATACACGTGCGCTAGCATTACTGTTAACATAAATTACATGTGTGCTAGCATTACTGGTAACATAAAATACATGTGTGCTAGCATTACTGTTAACATAAAATACATGTGCGCTAGCATTACTGTTAACATAAAATACATGTGTGCTAGAATTACTGTTAACATAAAATACATGTATACTAGCATTACTGGTAATATAAAATACATGTGTGCTAGCATTACTGGTAATATAAAATACATGTGTTCTAGCATTACTGTTAACATAAAATACATGTGCGCTAGTATTACTGTTAACATAAAAAAAATGTGTGTGTGCTAGCATTACTGGTAATATAAAATAAATGTGTGCTAGCATTACTGTTAACATCAAATACATGTGTGCTAGCGTTACTGTTAACATAAAATAAATGTGTGCTAACATTACTGGTAATATAAAATACATGTGTGCTAGCATTACTGTTAACATAAAATACATGTGTGCTAGCATTACTGTTAACATAAAATACATGTATGCTAGCATTACTGTTAAAATAAAATACATGTGTTCTAGCATTACTGTTAACATAAAATACAAGTGTGCTAGCATTACTGTTAACATCAAATACATGTATGCTAGCATTACTGGTAATATAAAATACATGTGTGCTAGCATTACTGGTAATATAAAATAAATGTGTTCTAGCATTACTGTTAACATAAAATACATGTGCGCTAGGATTACTGGTAATATAAAATACATGCTTTCTAGCATTACTCCGAAACGATACTACAAGGCGCCTCAGATGGTAAGAGAAGGCAGGCCAACGAAAACTTGGATACTTAATGGTACTGAATGGACAGCCCTTAGACATTGTTCATTATTCGTTTAAAGGTCACCCTAATGGCACATCAGACATGACCATAAGTGCTCCGATCTCCTCCTGAGTATGTCTGCAAGTTGTTTTAGGCTAACAACTCCCATTCTGTTCTGGCTGATGTAACGATGAGTGGCTCCTGCATGGAAGACCTAAAAGAAACACTCATCAAGTTCACTGCCCCTGACTGGCCAAAGTATGAGCTCTGATCAGACAGCAACTGAACGCGATGTCATGGACTATCTATTATGGTGATGATGATGATGATGATGATAATTATGACCGACAGTCTGCTACTGGTCAAAAACTTACCTCGCTGGTCAATAAAAAGTCGGTTACTCCGAGAATCAATCACCACTCGGTGTTTATCCAACCAGGTGTATGCTAGTTTAGGGGCCACGGAAGATTTGGTGTCGTCACAGTCCAGTCGTAAATAGTCGTACTCATTCACTGCATGCGTTATGTTTAAAGAGATTTGGCCAAAGTTTTCAAGCCCTGGGGAGGATTCGCATTTCAACTCATTAGAAAGAAACTCTTCGCTGGCCGCTGAAGATTGTGACATAGCACATATGGGAATCTCCCAATTGTTTTGATGTCGGTTTTTGACTTAACTTTCATAGTGTGTGTCCCATGGGTACATTGTGTGGTGTGTGTGTGTTTATGTGTGTGTTTGTGTGTGTGTGTGTGTGTGTTGGAAAGGGGGGGGGGTGGGTGTAAAGACAACACTGATCGCCAACAAGCATGTGGTGAAAGTTCTAATTAGGGGTGATTTTATCGAAGTCGGAGTGCATCTACCTAAGAATTGAGGAGCCACCAGTCTGCATACTATTACGTCAGATCTGTAAAATTGATATACATGCATCATGTAAATTTTGCAACAAGACCAAAGTCCTGAAATTTCTCTGCAGAGCAAAGGAGAAGAAGACTAGAACTGAACTCTCTAGGTCTTAGTAGCACCCAGATTTGAAAAGGGTAGGCTTTATACTAAACAGGTATGTGAACCCCGAAATCTGATAGAGACCACGATGCCAAGCAGACAGTGGAGAGAGAAGTTTCAGCCTTATTTACAAATATTTTGACAACACTCACACACAAAAAAGTTACCGATCACCCAGAGTTTCATGTCTACAGAAGACTTGGAAGACAATGAAGGAGACGTCGACAAGACGGGAAAAAAAAGCAGAAGAAGACGAAGAAGAAGAAGAAGAAAAAGAAGATGAAGAAGAAGAAGAAGAAGAAGAAGAAGAAGAAGAAGAAGAAGAAGAAGAAGAAGAAGAAGAAGAAGAAGAAGAAGAAGAAGAAGAAGAAGAAGAAGAAGAAGAAGAAGAAGAAGAAGAAGAAGAAGAAGAAGAAGAAGAAGAAGAAGAAGAAGAAGAAGAAGAAGAAGAAGAAGAAGAAGAAGAAGAAGAAGAAGAAGAAGAAGAAGAAGAAGAAGAAGAAGAAGAAGAAGAAGAAGAAAAAGAAGATGAAGAAGAAGAAGGAGATGGAGAAGGAGAAGGAGAAGGAGGAGGACAAGGAGGAGAAGAAGAAAAAGGATGAGAAATAGAAAGAAGAAAGAAGAAGATGATGATGATGATGATGATGATGATGATGAAAAGGCAAAAGAAGAAACAGATTAGTATGAACAAGAACGACCAAGAATCAGAAAAGCATCACCCACCATAGTGTAAGCAAATATATTCTGTGTGCTGTACGGTACACAATGAGATAAACATACTTGCTTCAAGCAAATGAACCATTGGAGACATGCTGGAGACAGTGAGTCTTCCAGCAGTGTTGGTAGCAATACATCTGTAGATACCGACTTCTTCTGATCGGAAGAATGTAAACGTTAGAGCTCCTGTTGACAAGTTTACGTAGGTGTTTAGAGTCGGCTGAATATAAATTCCGTTGTATGTCCACTTGATTCTGTTGGGGTATGAAAACTGACAAGTGAATCGCGGACGTCAGAAAAATGTGGATAAATCATAAAGAACGTGTAAGGATAATGTTCAGTCAAAGAATCACCTTTGGTCAAGACATGAGAAGAGGGACACTGGAACCGGTGGTGACCGCTGGAAAGATCTGTAGATGGAGATCCAGAGGAAAACCAAGTCAGAAGATTTTTGACAGCCTTTTGTCTTGGTTTTGGGTGCGGGAGAGAGAGAGGGGGGGGGGGGGTGTGGTGGTAAATCGGTACACGAACTGACATACGCAGTTGCAGATCGTGGATTGCAGCGAGGCATGATGGCCCACGCCATTTAGTAAGACACCTGGTGATGATAATGATGACGATGATAATGATAAGAAGAAAATTAAAGTTACAATTAAGACGGTCAACTTTATTGCAGAGGAAGTTTGTATCCCATATGTACCTCTATTTATGTTTCCATGTTATCTTAGTCGAAGACTGCACTAATGTGCCGAACGACGAGAATTTGGAATGTTGAGTTACGAATCAAAATCACTGCAGTAGGAGCACTCCCATGAGCGCTCTGTCCCCATCTTCAGCTGCAAGCGAAGAGTTTAAATTCCGATGGCACCAGTAACTGTCTAATTGTATATACGTCTTGCCCTTCCCTTGAGTGTTCACGTCTGTCAGATCCCTTGGTAAGTCCTCAGACCGTAATGATATATTATCAGTGCCTCCGCACTGTTTACTCGCTCCCAAAGGGACCTCACAATATCTAGCTTGCCATACATCAGTTTCCCCCCCCCCCCCCCCAAGTGGTGCGGAGCCAACAGGTATATCTGCCTGCGCATTTTCCAATACACCGGCATAACCTGGAGAAAATATCTAACGAATGCTAACTACCCGTGACCTCTGAATTGATGCTTGCCACTCTGCACGAAGCATGCCTGTCGCCACTTTTCTCAGCATGCTCTGTGAGTCAGTTACAATGACAGCATGTGCGTACAGATGATTCTCAAGCCAGCGGAAGGCAGCAAAAACTGCGACGTGCATTCGCTTTTGCTATGAACCCACTTGCACTTCGTCACCCCCTCAACACAGAGCTATCTATATAGATAATCACATCACTTGGGCGGGAATTGTCATGAATCATTTGTTGAACTCCTGCAGCACCAGCTGGTCAGTCTCTGCGCTCACAACCTAAAGTGATCAGAACCCTACACTAGTCTGTAACTTACTCGGACCCCTCGACTCGAACGACGCGAACGTGAATTTAACCCAGTTTAACCTAAGACTCTAGAGCGCAAGGCATTCGGCTTGACGGCTTCACCATGGAGGCTCCCTTTGCAGGAGGAGAATTATTGTGGACAGTACTGAGGTCTATTTGTTAAAAGAGGGATGAGAGGAACAAATAGGAAAAGGAGAAATTGGTCTCATACGAAAAAACAAAATTTTAGAACGATCACCAAATGAACACAAATAAATAGCAGTATTTTAAACAACATTATGTTGTCGGTGCCAAAACGCGGCCATTAGCAACAAAAGCAAAAACGATAACAGAATTCAAACAATGTAAAGGGAATGTAAAGGGAATGTAAAGGGAATGTAAAGGGAATATCTACTTCGAATTTCTAAATGTAACCACAACAGGTGGGATTAGAAAGAAGATATAATGACAGAAGTTAGAATCAGAACTAAAATACGTCAACAGATAACAGATCAAATGGTTAGGACATGTGTCGAAACTAACACCAGAGAGTGCTCTAGAGAGAACCATGTCACGTAAGCATAAAGTAAGCGGTGTAGTGTCGACCATGTAAACGATGTAGTGTCGACCATGTGAGCGGTGTAGGGTCGACCATGTAAACGGTGTAGTGTCGACCATGTAAGCGGTGTAGTGTCGACCATGTAAACAATGTAGTGTCGACCATGTAAACGATGTAGTGTCGACCATGTAAGCGATGTAGGGTCGACCATGTAAACGATGTAGTGTCGACCATGTAAGCGATGTAGAGTCGACTATGTAAACGATGTAGTGTCGACCATGTAAGCGATGTAGGGTCGACCATGTAAACGATGTAGTGTCGACCAAGTAAGCGGTGTAGGGTCGACCATGTAAACGATGTAGTGTCGACCATGTAAGCGGTGTAGTGTCGACCATGTAAACGATGTAGTGTCGACCATGTAAGCGATGTAGTGTCGACCATGTAAGCGATGTAGGGTCGACTATGTAAACGATGTAGTGTCGACCATGTAAGCGGTGTAGTGTCGACCATGTAAACGATGTAGTGTCGACCATGTAAGCGGTGTAGGGTCGACCATGTAAGCGATGTAGGGTCGACCATGTAAACGATGTAGTGTCGACCATGTAAGCGGTGTAGTGTCGACCATGTAAGCGATGTAGGGTCGACAATGTGAGCGATGTAGTGTCGACCATGTAAACGATGTAGTGTCGACCATGTAAGCGGTGTAGTGTCGACCATGTAAACGATGTAGTGTCGACCATGTAAGCGGTGTAGGGTCGACCATGTAAACGATGTAGTCTCGACCATGTAAACGATGTAGTGTCGACCATGTAAGCGATGTAGTGTCGACCATGTAAGCGATGTAGGGTCGACTATGTAAGCGATGTAGGGTCGACCTTGTAAGCGATGTAGGGTCGACTATGTAAACGATGTAGTGTCGACCATGTAAGCGATGTAGGGTCGACCATGTAAACGATGTAGTGTCGACCATGTAAGCGATGTAGGGTCGACTATGTAAACGATGTAGTGTCGACCATGTAAGCGGTGTAGGGTCGACCATGTAAACGATGTAGTGTCGACCATGTAAGCGATGTAGTGTCGACCATGTAAACGATGTAGTGTCGACCATGTAAGCGGTGTAGGGTCGACCATGTAAACGATGTAGTGTCGACCATGTAAGCGATGTAGGGTCGACCATGTAAACGATGTAGTGTCGACCATGTAAGCGATGTAGGGTCGACCTTGTAAGCGATGTAGGGTCGACCATGTAAGCGATGAATAAATGGATCATCTGAAGCCTTAAATACCAACATCTACGTAGCACATACCAAAGGCTCGCACCAAATGTCCTGTCACAAACTGACGATTAAAAGCAGAATAGGACTAGAGAAGAAGATGAAGAAGGTAAGCAGAAAGTCTCGAGCCAACCGCTAAAGACACAGTGAGAAAGGATACTATCAAACGATCTGTGGGGTAAAACACGATGCACCAAACCATCGATAAACATAAGATCACATGGTTTCGTCATCTCACTAGAATGAAGCCACCACTATCAACACATGAACAAATCTTATGTGAAAGCAAGAGGTCGACCAGTGAAGACATGGACTGATAACATTAAAAACCATCTACATCGACACATAATGACGATAGCCATTGCTACCCATCAAGGAATGAATCGCAAACAGTCCCTCCCCACGGTGCTCAACTACAGAGTGAAAACTGATGATGATGATGACGACGATAATGATGATGCGAATTAGTGTAAGGGCTTCAAAGATATGGTTGAATACCAGCATTTAAAGAAAATATGAAAACTGCAGATGTATTGTTTCATAGAAGTGTGATGAAAACTAATGTGGAACCTGCTCAAGAGGGATTTAATGGAAGAATTTCATGGAAATAATTTAAAATGAAGGTGCATTAAAATGAATTTAATAGCGAACAGAAAACTAAAAGTTCCATGGGTTGTTGGTTTTCTAGGCAAATTTTATGATTTGTAGTTTGCTCTTGTCATTGTCAAATAGAGTAGTTTGCTCTTGTCATTGTCAAATAGAGTAGTTTGCTCTTGCCATTGTCAAATAGAGTAGTTTGCTCTTGCCATTGTCAAATAGAGTAGTTTGCTCTTGCCATTGTCAAATAGAGTAGTTTGCTCTTGCCATTGTCAAATAGAGTAGTTTGCTCTTGCCATTGTCAAATAGAGTAGTTTGCTCTTGCCATTTTCCAATAGAGTAACGACAATAAAACGTTACATTCACGTTACATACATTGGCTGAGGGTCTCCGGTAGCAGAGCAGTTAACTTCGAATGCGATCAAGGCTCGAAACTTCAAAACTAGCTTTTTATCAGGGTAGACAATTTTCGGTGGCCTGTATTCTGAAAATGCAAAATTATCACATGTGAAATGAGGTGTCCAAGAAAATACTACCCGAGATAAAGTTAAAAATAATATTACCAGAAAGACTATGGGAACAACACCATGCAGCAAATTCATTTAGAAACAGAAGATAGAATGGTTTGGTCATGTGAGTGTAGTGGAAAAAAATGAGCATTGTTTTCAGTTTAGATTTGCTCATGGGAGCCTTTTTCGGACGGGGCGACCCTTTCCAGTGCCATTCGGAACTTCTTGTGGTCTTCGGATCGTATTCAGACATGCAAGAAACGTCTCTGGTGATCACCTTAGGCGGAGATTTCGGCTTTGCTGCTACACACTTAAACAGTTCTTGCGAAATTGTTGCAGAGTCTGCTTGGTCCGGGCTGTCAGCACTTATGGCACCAATCTTTAAACACACTTTTCTCATGTCCGATTCTTGCGTCAAAATATCGAAAACTGTCGTTTTACGGGGCGAGTTTAGTTTCTTTGCTATTGATCGCACACTGTTTCGTCGATCACTGTTCAAACTGTCCCGTAAACTGTCAACATTTTTCTTTGTTTTGGTGAAGGAAGGTCGACTCACCCGTCTATCGTCCTCAACATCTTCTCTCCCCCCCCCCCCTCCTCACTGAAGGCTTTACGCCAGTTAAACACCATCGCTCGACTCAAACACTCATTGTCGTATTCTGTCTTTAACATTTTCAACGTTTCTGTTACATGATATTGCGAGTTTGACGCAGAATGTAATTGCATAACGCTGTACGATGGAACGTTCCATTTTTTTCACGACACGTCACTCGTATTGGGAATCACTGCTTCCACAATCTGCACGTTCTTTAAAACAAGAATATTTTTGTATGAGATAACAACAATACATTCGCATTTAGTCGTTCAGCTTCCGACCTAGTGTATTCACTTTTACTGTACCTTCACTTCGTTCTTCCTGTCTGTGGTTTTCAGATAAGAAGGCCACAGGTGTCCATTTAGTCTTTGATGCGACGCATGTTTCCCACTATTCCATAGAGCTTGGGTTCCACTGGAAGAACTTTGTTTGGACTCATTCGTACAGGGTTTAGCAAGCTCAGCCTAACATCCATCACTGTCAATTTCGGTCACTGACATTCATTACCATCCCGTACCACTGCGTGTGGTTGGTTAACCAGTTGCTGTTGACTGTCTGATTAGCTTCCTCTAATTTTGACTGTCAGATGCGATGGACCTGTCCAGTCAGTCAAATTCTGAATCCATTTCTTTCTTGGTCTGCCTTTTCTCCTCTCCCCATCGACTGAGCCCTGTAGTATTGTTTTTGAGAGGTTATTAGATTTTATTGCACGTCCGTGCATTTCCACTCATTTTACTGTCGTTAAAACAGGTTAATGGTTCACTGGCATTACAATGAGGGACTGCATGGTTCTGTAGTCTTCATGTTCGGCTTTGACACCTTCTTGGTCTCTCTCCGCCTTTCGCATGAAGCTACGATCCTGTGTTACTTGGGCCTGCGAGTGTTGCGAAAATCTTGTAACACTGTATTGCCATTGGGGGAAGGGGAGGGGGGTGTGTGTTATTAGACAGATGACTGATTGCTTCAGACAGTTGATAACTTTAGCTTATAACCCAGCACACCTGGTACGGCTGAGACGTATGCTTCACTTAGTATTCAAAGACAGGAAGTAACAACATCAGTAGTAGTAATAGTAGTATTAGAGGTAGAAGTAGTAGTAGTAGTAGTAGTAGTAGTAGTAGTAGTAGTAGTAGTAGTAGTAGTAGTAGTAGTAGTAGTAGTAGTAGTAGTAGTAGTAGTAGTAGTAGTAGTAGTAGTAGTAGTAGTAGTAGTAGTAGTAGTAGTAGTAGTAGTAGTAGTAGTAGTAGTAGTAGTAGTAGTAGTAGTAGTAGTTGTTGTTGTTGTTGTAGTAGCAACAGCCGCAGTAGTATTAGTAATGGCATAGTAGTAGAAGTAGTAGTTGTTGTTGTTGTAGTAGTAGCAACAGCCGCAGTAGTATTAGTAATGGCATAGTAGTAGAAGTAGTAGTTGTTGTTGCTGCTGGCGTAGCACACGTACAGGCACTACTTGAAATCTAGGAGGAGGAATATTAATTAATAAAAGAAGAAGAAGAAGAAGAAGAAGAAGCAGAAGAAGAAGAAGAAGAAGACTGAGAAGAAGAAGAAGAATGAGCAGGCGGATAAGGATAGAGGAGGAAGAGATGACGAACAAGGAGAAACAGGAAAACCTATTATTTGGTGTGTGCACTAAAAGAAGTGGGGGGGGGGGGGTGCACACCAACTTGGCTTACCTCCCCTCCTCGACCTTGAAAACTCCTTATTATTGAATTTATGATTAAATAAATAAATAAATATATAAATAAATAAATAAATAAATAAACGAAACAAGAATTGACATTACTGCACTCAGGACATTCCCACATGTGCCCAGTCCCCTTCTTCAGTAGCCAACGTTCAGTCGACATGTTGACAGTACCATTTGCGACCTGATTAAAAATCAGTCTCTGATTTCCCTTCAATGTTCATTATCTATCTCCCAGAACCCCCCCCCCCCCCCCCACCCCCCCCCCCCCCCCCCCCCCCCACCCGTAAAGTTCCCCTCGGTTTCCCCTTCAATGCTGAATGTCTCACTTAACATCTCCTCACCCCCGTACAGTCCACCTCTGTTTTCCCGTCAGTGCTGAATGTCTCACAGAACATCTCCTCACCCCCGTACAGTCCGCCTCTGTTTCCCCGTCAGTGCTGAATGTCTCACAGAACATCTCCTCACCCCCGTACAGTCCGCCTCTGTTTCCCCGTCAGTGCTGAATATCTCCCAGAACATCTCCTCACCCCCGTGCAGTCCGCCTCTGTTTCCCCGTCAGTGCTGAATGTCTCACAGAACATCTCCTCACCCCCGTACAGTCCGCCTCTGTTTCCCCGTCATTGCTGAATATCTCCCAGAACATCTCCTCACCCCCGTACAGTCCGCCTCTGTTTCCCCGTCAGTGCTGAATATCTCCAAGAACATCTCCTCACCCCAACCCCTTCCTCTTTGGAATCAGTCTGTTAAGTGTATTTATCCCTATTATTATGAGGCCCTACTCTTATCTTAACCGATGAACTTGCTGATTATCAGAGTGAGAGTGGCGATGATGATTATTGTGATGATGATGCCGACTTTGATGAGATAAGGACGTTGATGACGATGATGATTTGGTAATGACTATCACTACGTTTATGATTACGATGACACTGATAAAGATGACGACGGCGATGACGTTTTTATGACAAATAACTCCTTGAAGATGATGATGATGACGACGACGACGATTATGACGATAACGAAGATGGTGACGTTAATTTTTTTTTATTTTATCGATCACCGGCTGTGAATTCCAGTGGAAGGTCCCGGTTAATCGTCCACTTGGACTTTTGGCTTTCACCTGGACCTGATTTTTGCGTGTACAACCGTTTTTCATTTCCCTGCTTCATGGGCAGCTGTACTCCGACTTCGAAGGAAGACGTCAGGCCTATTTCTAGGTTGACTGTGGCCATTGTTTTGTGTGGGTCGAGACGTTGCCTGATTTGTGTGGTGTCCACTTTGTCTCCTCCGCAGGTATTGCCCTCGGAGTACCCCTTTGGGGCAGCCCCCTGTGGAACAGTTAGCCCCGGGGAGCAGCCCGTAGGTTTTGGACTTTTGTGACCACACAGATAGGTACATTCTTTTTTCTTCGCACGTTAGATTTCTTTGACGAGCCGTTAGCCCGACAGAATTTTACATCCTGCATCAGGCATATCGTTATCAGTTTTGTCCCAACACTCGGGCGAGTGGGTCTTTGGGTGTGGACATTCGGTCTTTTTCAGTTCAATACAAATTTTGATGGTCAGATTTTGATCCGTATGATCTAGTTTTGTCGGACAATTAGGATGGTTGCTGTTGTGGTGTACCTCAGCGCGGTGACGACGACACTGAGGGTTAACCGAGGATGTACATGAATGGCCAGCCTATGGATGGTTGCTGTTGTGGTGTACCTCAGCGCGGTGACGACGACACTGGGGGTTAACCGAGGATAAACAAGGATGGCCAGCCTATGGATGGTTGCTGTTGTGGTGTACCTCAGCGCGGTGACGACGACACTGAGGGTTAACAGAGGATGTGCAGTGAACAATGTTCTCTTTACTCCGCAGTCTTTTAACCAAGGGTTGTAATTTTGGCTGTATGTTTGGCAAACCTACTCATGTTCCTAATGAGTTTTGATAACATTTTTCACCCAAGCCTTTGGGGGCGGGCTGATGAGAGCCACAAGGACACATCACCTCTGGGGGCCGCCGAACTCCGAGATCCCCTGACAGCTCTGTTAATGCTCATTTGAGACATTATCCGTGGCGCACGACGAGGACGTGCTGTAGGGGTCTTGCGTGAGGTTCCGTACAACCAGGATAGTTAAGGACTGGCGCCCGAGTGACGTACGGAGTATCTCCTTATACACATCATGTTGGACTTAACTTCCCCTCACGCCTGTGACATAAATCACCGCGCCACGGTGACGTTAATGATGACGATGATAACAGAGACGATGATGATGATGACGACGATAACGAAGATGGTGACTTTAATGATGACTATGATAACAAAGACAATGATGATGATGACGACGACGAAGATGACATTGATTACAGCGACAATAACGTCTTTTGTGATCAAAACGGACCTAGCCATACCATGAGACAGATAGTACTGCCAGATACACAAAAACGTCATCGCCCGCGCCTGCATACACTTCATGGTAATGATCACAGACTGAATCATTTGTGTCATACTCCCTCTAGTCTTCATATGTGGAATACAAAGAAAGCATAGGCTATCCTTCGAATAATGGGCACTAAAGATGGCGGCCGCAAAATATTCTTTCGAGCCACAGTCACGTGTCAACTGCGCACTTCCGGCTACTTAATTTGCTCACGCGGCGTGGTTTGGGGCTAAAATAGATGGCTAGGACTCACGAGCAAAGCTGTAGGAGATGCGGAAGCTGCTGCTCGTGAGTCCTAGCCATCCAGTTTAGCCCCAATCCACGCCGCGTCAGCGGCGGTAGCGGTTGTTAGCTGAAAACCGCCGGAAAACCGCAAATTAAGTAGCCGGAAGTAGGCAATTGACACGTGACTGCGGCTCGAAAGGATATTTTGCGGCCATCATCTTTAGTGCACGTTATTCGAAGGATAGCCGAAAACATAATTTCTAGTGAGGTAAAACAAATGGACCGTTGGTCCATTACTAAACAATCACGTGGAAGGTGTGTGTGTGCATGAACTGCTCTATCCTACGAATTGAAGAGAAGACATACAATCTAGCATATAGTCTGGAAATAAAGTATACTTTGACCTACAGAATCTGCTGACATCAAGGTCGCTGTCTCACAACACTAAGATCAAAATATGTAAAACACTCATAAGACCAGTTGTTTTATATCGCTTTGAAACTTGAAACCCATCAAAAAGAGATAAAGCGTTGTTAAACATTTTTGAGAAGTTTTACTACGAATCTTTGGACCCATTTAAGATGCAAACAAGATTAGAGAGTGAGAAGCAGTAACAAAATGGTAATTCCCAATTTGTTTAAATCCCCAGTGAACACTGGCTTACTGAGATAATGTCTGATGACAGAGAGGTAAAAATTGTGTATAAAGTGGAACTGAATAGTCGAAGAACAACGAGGCCGCTTAAGAAGACGACGGAGAGATGCTTTCCATATTAATTTACCAACGCTTGGAGTAACCAACTGGAAAGACAAAGCAAATCGCTTAGAAGAATGGATGCAGGTGATATCTGCAGCATTGAACCTCAAGGGCTCGGAATGTTGCTGCTGAAGAAGAAAAAGAAGAAGGAGATGCAGAAAAAGGAGCAGAAGATGTGGAAGTGACGGAGGTGTCGTTTTATAAATGAATGATGGGAATACCCTTTGACAGATAAAAAAAATTAATGAAGATGTCTTGAACGACATACACGTTCATACATGGTCCGTATCCCGCAGCAAATGTCTCAAGGTGTAGATGCTAACTGTTCCCCTAGCACAGTGATCATAAACTCCTAGTTCTCTTCCTCTCATACGTCCTTCGTTGCCCAATTCACCAGTTATTCCACGTTCATACATTTTTTTTTTCCGGTTCCGGTTTCAAGATGGAGGGATGTTTTCCTTCAAGCTTGTCTCCAGTCCGTTGATCGGTAGCCTAACAAGCCGCCATCGTAAAACATCCACTGTTACAGAAACAGATTTCTGTCTTTAAACGTCATGTCGTTTCGTTCTAATTTGTTGAATGCCACCGATGTTTTTAAAATTGGATATTGGAACGTTAGAACTATGTACCAGACAGGGAAAACAGCACAAGTGTGTAGTGTTATGAATGATTTCAATCTGGATATCCTCGGTGTTAGCGAATGTAGATGGACCAACTCGGGTAAAACGTTCCTTACTAATGAACAAAAACACATAGTTTATTCGGGGAGAACTGATAACCAACATTCAGGCGGTGTCGCGATTATTATGTCACCTAGAACAGAAAGATCACTCGTCAGCTGGGAACCGGTCAATGAAAGAATTATAGCAGCACGCTTCCAATCCAGGTATTTCAAACTATCAGTCATACAATGCTATGCACCTACAAATGATGATACTGACTTCAACAAAGACACCTTCTATAACGTATTAATTGACACCATCAACAAAACACCTAAACACGACATCACTGTTGTGATGGGCGATTTCAACGCCAAGGTTGGAGATGACAACAGCCGTGTTGAAAGATACATGGGAGCGCATGGTATAGGGAGCATGAACCAGAATGGCGAAAGACTACTCGAGTTATGTGAAATTGCTAATCTGTTAATAGCAAATACCACCTTCCCACATAAAGATATTCATAAATCCACCAGGATTTCCCCTGACAATCACACTAAAAATCAGATAGACCACTTTTGCATAAGTACCAAATTCCGCTCGTCAGTTCGGGATGTCAGAGCATATCGAGGAGCAGACGTTGGCAGCGATCACAACCTCTGCATAGCCAAACAAAAGATGAAGCTCAAGAAACTACATAAAACATTTACAAGCAAGAAAATAGATTCACAGTCTCTGTTGTCAAACCAACATCAAATCACATTTAACTCTGGGATACAAAACAACTACGTACAAACCTTAACTAACAAAAATAATGTTGAATACAACATAGAACAAAAATGGAGCTTCTTTAGAGACACCTTCAAGGAAGCCGCAGTCAACACAGTTGGTTACATGCAAAGAAAGAAGAAACAATGGCTGAGTGAAAACACTTGGATAAAAATTCAGGAAAGAAAACAGGCCAAATTATCCCTTTTATCTACAAAAGACACATATGTATATGAAAAAGTCAAACAAAGGTACACCTTGTTAGATAAAGAAGTGAAACATAGTGCACGGAAAGATAAACAAGATTTCATACACAACCTAGCTTGCGATGCTGAAACGGCTGCCAGAACTGGGAACAATAAAGCTGTATTCCACATCATGAAACAGCTGTGCAACCATACACCTACAGCAAACGCACCCATCAAAGACAAACAGGGTAAATTATTATTATCTGAAGAACAACAAAAGCAACGATGGGCAGAACATTTCAGAGAAATATTAAATAGGCCACAACCCGACACTGTTCCCAATATAGACGAAGAAGAAGCTATGCCACCTCTAGATGCTACCTGTGAACCATTCACAATGTTAGAACTTAAATCAGCAATAAAAAAACTAAAGAAGAACAAGGCTACTGGCGCAGATGAAATCTCAGCTGAAATGTTAAAGGCAGCAGACGAAAACACCTTACAATATTTGCTACAGCTGTTCAATGATGTTTGGCTAAATGAATCCCCACCGCAACAGTGGAAAGAAGGTGTTATATTCAAACTGCCCAAAAAAGGTGATTTAGCAGACTGCAACAACTGGCGTGGTATCACCCTACTCTCCGTACCAGGAAAACTGTTCTGCAGCATGCTAATGCAGAGACTGAAAAAGCCAAATAGATGCAAGACTCCGAGAAGAACAAGCAGGATTCAGACCGAATCGGTCATGCATCGACCATATATTCACACTCAGAACCATCGTAGAAGAGTCAGTAGAGTTTCAATCCCAACTCATCATCAACTTTGTTGATTTTCAGAAGGCCTTTGACAGCATACACCGCCCTACACTCTGGAAGCTACTCACAATCTATGGTTTCCAAGATAAATATGTCAATATTATAAAGGCCTTCTACACCGATTCCCGCTGCCTTGTTAGAACGGAATCTGGTAACTCTGATTGGTTCCCAGTAGAAACAGGCGTGAAACAAGGATGTGTCTTGTCACCAATGCTTTTTGGAATAGCACTCGATTGGGTCATGCGCAAATGCACACAGGACACACATCTAGGCATCAAATGGGTCGACAAAGTTCTCGAAGATCTTGACTTTGCTGACGACCTAGCACTCCTGAGCACAACACATCTAGAAGCTCAGGAAAAAATGGACCGCCTCCAGAATATTTCAAGCCAAATCGGCCTTCAGGTCAACGCAGCCAAAACAAAAATCATCGATCTTACCAACGAGTCGAAAGACATCAAACTAAAGGATATTGTTCTTGAAAAAATCACCAGCTTCACATACTTAGGGAGCAAGATAACCTCTGCGGGAGATACAACATCAGAAATAACGACTCGAATCGCGTTAGCATCAAGTGCCTTTAACAAACTGTCAAACATTTGGAAGTCAAGATCACTCAGCAACAACACGAAACTTGAGGTCTTCAATTCCTGTGTGATCCCAGTGTTAACTTATGGTTGTGAGAGTTGGAAATCATCAGTATCAATCGATAAGAAACTAGTCGCTTTCGAGAATAGATGCCTCCGAAAGCTATTGAATGTTCACTGGTCGGACTTTAGGTCCAATACATCTATAAGACAGGAAACAAAACAAAAATATGTGTCTGATTTTATTAGAAAGCGGAATTACATCGGTCACGTACTCAGAATGGACATACAGAGACTTCCCCACCAAGCCTTCGTATGGTCACCAGAGGGTAAAAGAAAACAGGGAAGACCAAAAGAAACTCTCCGTAGAACCATCACAAGGGAGAGCTCAACCATAGGTCTCAGTCGCACTCAAGACCTACATCAAGTGGCAAAGAACCGACAGACGTGGAAAGCTATGACCTCTGCCCTATGCGCCATCTTTGGCACAAGAGGAATAACTATACATTCTTACATATGTTTTCTTATATAACCTGCTGTCTTCTATCATCATTCGTTCTTCTTCTTCTTCTTTGTTTACCGGCTGTAAGCTATGGCAAAAAGTCCTGGCTGTTCGTCCATTTAGACTTAAGCTTTGTATTAGGGCCTGAGTTTTGCATGCGCATCCGTTTTACTGGCTTAGTGTTAGGCTTAAACAACGGATCAACATCATTGCTCAAGGGTAACCCACGAGTGTTCTATTCTACTTCTAACTATAGTCTGATTATTTGTGTGCAGTTGTTTGTTCCTTGCAGCTCTGGCAGATACACTCCTACTTCTAACTATAGTCTGATTATTTGTGTGCAGTTGTTTGTTCCTTGCAGCTCTGGCAGATACACTCCGACTTCTAACTATAGTCTGATTATTTGTGTGCAGTTGTTTGTTCCTTGCAGCTCTGGCAGATACACTCCTACTTCTAACTATAGTCTGATTATTTGTGTGTGTGCAGTTGTTTGTTCCTTGCAGCTCTGGCAGATACACTCCTACTTCTAACTATAGTCTGATTATTTGTGTGTGTGCAGTTGTTTGTTCCTTGCAGCTCTGGCAGATACACTCCTACTTCTAACTATAGTCTGATTATTTGTGTGTGTGCAGTTGTTTGTTCCTTGCAGCTCTGGCAGATACACTCCTACTTCTAACTATAGTCTGATTATTTGTGTGTGTGCAGTTGTTTGTTCCTTGCAGCTCTGGCAGATACACTCCTACTTCTAACTATAGTCTGATTATTTGTGTGTGTGCAGTTGTTTGTTCCTTGCAGCTCTGGCAGATACACTCCTACTTCTAACTATAGTCTGATTATTTGTGTGCAGTTGTTTGTTCCTTGCAGCTCTGGCAGATACACTCCGACTTCTAACTATAGTCTGATTTTGTGTGTGCAGTTGTTTGTTCCTTGCAGCTCTGGCAGATACACTCCTACTTCTAACTATAGTCTGATTTTGTGTGTGCAGTTGTTTGTTCCTTGCAGCTCTGGCAGATACACTCCGACTTCTAACTATAGTCTGATTTTGTGTGTGCAGTTGTTTGTTCCTTGCAGCTCTGGCAGATACACTCCGACTTCTAACTATAGTCTGATTATTTGTGTGTGCAGTTGTTTGTTCCTTGCAGCTCTGGCAGATACACTCCGACTTCTAACTATAGTCTGATTATTTGTGTGTGCAGTTGTTTGTTCCTTGCAGCTCTGGCAGATACACTCCGACTTCTAACTATAGTCTGATTTTTTGTGTGCAGTTGTTTGTTCCTTGCAGCTCTGGCAGATACACTCCTACTTCTAACTATAGTCTGATTTTGTGTGTGCAGTTGTTTGTTCCTTGCAGCTCTGGCAGATACACTCCGACTTCTAACTATAGTCTGATTTTTTGTGTGCAGTTGTTTGTTCCTTGCAGCTCTGGCAGATACACTCCTACTTCTAACTATAGTCTGATTTTGTGTGTGCAGTTGTTTGTTCCTTGCAGCTCTGGCAGATACACTCCGACTTCTAACTATAGTCTGATTTTTTGTGTGCAGTTGTTTGTTCCTTGCAGCTCTGGCAGATACACTCCTACTTCTAACTATAGTCTGATTATTTGTGTGTGCAGTTGTTTGTTCCTTGCAGCTCTGGCAGATACACTCCTACTTCTAACTATAGTCTGATTTTGTGTGTGCAGTTGTTTGTTCCTTGCAGCTCTGGCAGATACACTCCTACTTCTAACTATAGTCTGATTTTTTGTGTGCAGTTGTTTGTTCCTTGCAGCTCTGGCAAATACACTCCGACTTCAAAGTATAGTTCCCAAATAGTCGACTCCTACGACATGCTTGCTGGGGAGGCAGTAGGTCTATCCCCCCCCCCCCCTCACGCACAATAGGATCCTGGAACCCACACGGGGAATCATTCATTCACTAACGGTCTTCAAAATGTCTACTTTGTGCAGTACGAGTGTTTATGTATCTATCACTTTTATAGCCAGACAAACCGCTTTTATTTCCTAACACCCCTTAAATCACGGACAGTATATACATGTCAGTACCTACATTGCTGGCGTGATGATGTTAACAGTGGCATACATCATCATCATGTAGCAGGTCCTTTGCAGAACGTCGCTCTCATCACAGTCTGCCTAAAAGAAACTTGGTCTTTCGCCAGTTCTCCCGCCTCATGTACTTTTATACTCAAGGAGACGCTTATATCCTATACCCATCTTCGTGGCGGTCGGCCCCTGCCCCTCCTTCCTGGTACCATGCCTTCTGCTATAATTTTTTCCAATCCGTCGTAGCGCTTGATATGACCAAAATATTTCAGCTTCCGAGAAAGGATGCTGTTTATTAGCCAATCTTTCTTGATGTTCAGATCTTTTAAGATGTCAATATTTCTCCTCTTCTTTGCCCAAGATATTCTGAGAATTTTTCTATAGCATTTCAGCTCAAAAGCCCCTATTCTCTTTCTTAATGACTGAGAGATAGTCCAAGACTCACATCCGTATGTAGCCACAGGGAAGATGCATGCTCTCAAAATTCTAGTTTTTATCTCCTTGCTGGTGCTTAACAATAGACTTTAAAGGCTGTTCAATCTTTGCATTGCTATGGCCACCCTCCTTTTAATTTCTGTCAAACAGTCTCCACTGCTGTTTATTATAAAGCCTAGATATTCAAAGTTTGTGACATTTTCAATTTCTCCACCATTTATTGTCATTTTTGAGTGATAGCCAGTTTTATCTGTGGACATATATAAGATATAGATATACATGAAACGAACCCGTAATGTGCGAATCCATGTTCTGTTTCTTGAATACAAACAAATCATAGCAATTACTTACTTGTGTTCGTGCAAAACACGCACTTGAACACATTAAACTTACGGAGACTGCATCTGTCTCACAACCGGATGTTTGTAACATTACGTGGACAATCAAAACACAATATACATAATAATAATAATGCGTCATCAAAATAAACCGACACAGTGACAATTTTACTGGTGATCTGTGAAATCGTTATTTCCCTATTCTGTTCTCTCTCACCCTTCTTCGACATCTTGGCCGACGCTAAACGCTCAGAGGAAGGATGAGACGGATATCCAATCAGACTGTTACTGGCACCATCGGAATTGGAACTCTTCGCTTGCAGCTTAAGATAGAGACTGAGTACTTATTGGAGTGTCCTGAGTGCTGTGATGTCGTTTCTTAATTCAACATTCAACATTCTTTGACATCCTAAAGTTCTCCCGCTCATTGCTGTAGATACGCTATCATCTTGGAGATTGACAGGCTCTTTCCTTATGGTGATTCCGAATTGTTTGTAGGTCTGCCTGGATACCGTCTCTCAACAGTTTGCTTGGTATGCCTCGTGATCTACTCTTATTTAACTTGTCCATGCTACGCCAGGGTAGCGGGTAATAAACAGGCAGACAGATTGGCTGGATCTGCATCACTGGATGGGGAATTGAAACACGACAATGCAGA